GAAAGCTGTAATAGCTTTAAAAACCTCATGCTATAAATTAGTTTGGATTTTAAAATATTAGTGTGATCTGCATATTGCTCATATATAAAAATATAATTTATTACCTTTGTTTAATCAGGGTGAAAATATATTTAAAATAGAGTATGACAGCAGGCAGTTTGTAAACTCTTCAGTGTCATGTTGATGGCTATATAACATACTGTGACGGTTCAGAATGAAACCCATAGTGACTTGTGCAGCCAGCTGCAACAAATAAACATGTTTTACTGCCTACTATCATATTATGTTTACAGCACAGCAGACTGGCTGTCATCAGAGAAGCTTGGATGAAAACTTGCTGGTGAAATGATGTAATTGGTAATGCGGTGAAAATTATTTTGGTAGTTTTTATTTCTCATAAACTTGTGTCCTTTTGTCTGATTGCTTGATACAGATTTCTAACTGTATTTTACATCTAAATTAGTTACAAAACAATGGTTGAAGTGGAGGCTGCCAATTTTTTAAGGCCACCTTTTTCCGTCCTCCAAATGAACCAAGAAAAACTCTAATCTGGACCTTGCCCCTGCCCATGACTCCTTGAAAATTGCATGGCAGTGAATTGCAGCGATGTAACTGTTGTTCTTTGCTCGTAGGTTTGGATGCACACGAGGGTTTTTGGGGAGGTTGTTAGTGTTCGCATGGGCTTTGTACTGCTGGTGTTAGTGGAATTGCTGTGCTGCTGGCTGAAGATCTGCCTCTGCCATGGGTGAAATGGTGGGTGCCTGGAGCCTCCTTCATGCCAGCTAACGTTTGAGGATGCTTAGTGCTTTTACAGGGCAGCACATACGCATTTTGAGTCATAAGCCGGAGGCTGTGGAGGTTGGGCACGCGTGTTGTGTGCTTCTTGTGATTCCCCTGTGGCTATGGAGCAGGTGAGCAAGTTGATTGATGGGTGTGAGTTAGTGCTTGGTAATCTGTCACTACACTAAACATCAGTCATTATTACACAGGGCAGTCTGGTGTGGCAAATGCATCTTTCATCCTGCAGAGTGTTCCTGCCCAGAGGCTTACTCTTTCTGATCAGAAGGGATATGACTTTTTTCCCTTCCCTTTCACTTCCCTTTGCTAGCAAAGAGCTACCAAGCACTTGCCAGGTTATGTGCTGTAAAATATACCTTTTGTAATCAATCTATTGCTAAATTGCTTTTTTGAGTTATCACTGTTTGCTGTTTGTTCAAGAGGAGCTTCTTGAATATTTGCCTATTCTCTTCCTGAGCCATGTCTTTATGCTGCCCCAGTTCGACACCATTACTGACTTCGACAGACATGAATCTGTCTCTCTGCAGAGAAGGACCTGGGAGTCCTGGTGGACAACAAGTTATCCATGAGCCAGCAATGTGCCCTTGTAGCCAAGAAGGCCAGTGGTATCCTCGGGTGCATTAAGAAGAGTGTGGCCAGCAGGTCAAGGGAGGAGGTTATCTTCCCCCTCTACTCTGCCCTGGTGAGGCCACATCCGGAGTTCTGTGTCCGGTTCTGGGCTCCCCAGTTCAAGACCTACAGGGAACTACTGGAGAGAGTCCAGTGAAGGACCACAAAGATGATGAGGGGACTGGAGCAACTCTTGTATGAGGAAAGGCTGAGAGAGCTGGGTCTGTTTAGCCTGGAGAAGAGAAGATTGAGAGGATCTCATCAATACTTACAAATATCTAAAGGGCAAGTGTCAAGAGGACGGGGCCAGACTCTTTTCAGTGGTGCCCAGCAACAGGACAAGGAGCAACAGGCACAAACTGGAACACAGGAAGTTCCATCTGAACATGAGGAAAAACTTGTTTGAGGGTGACAGAGCACTAGAAGAGGCTGCCCAGAGGGGTTGTGGAGTCTCCTTCTCTGGAAAAAATTCAAAACCCGCCTGGACGTGATCCTGTGCAACCTGCTGTAGGTGATCCTGCTCTAGCAGGGGGGGTTGGACTAGATGATCCCCAGAGGTCCCTTCCAACCCCCACCACTCTGTGAATCCAGTGTGTCACAGCACTCTGACTTTCAGGTTATTCGGACTAATAATTCACTTTGGACTTCAAAATAAGGTGCCAAAGGTGCCTCCCAAGGAATTTGTCTGGTCGTTAAGCGTTTCTGTAGAAGTCATGTGGCCATCTGTTGGCCACAGCGTGGAGATGTATCTGCTTAGATTTTTCCCTCACTGATTTTATGTGTGTAAAAATACATATAAAACTCAGGCAGACAGAGCAGAAATAAAAGTTTCATTTCTTCCTGATTTGCCTTTGTAGGCAAGTCCTTTCTTCAAGCAAAGTGAATGGTTCTCTCAGTGGCAGGAGGCTGCTCATTTTTGGTCTCTAGGAAGTTCTTTGTCCCCTCTGCTTTTTAGCTGTTTGCTCTGTGATCTCCCTGTTGTCTCTGAATAACCTGCAGGCTCCAATATTCTTCTGATGACTCTTTTGCCTGCCAGATCTTACCTCCACTGAAGAAGTGATCTCTTGCCTTCTTCCAAGGAATCCACCTCTCTTGTTGCTGCACGGGAATGTATTGCTGCACACCGAGCGCTGAAAGAAAATGAGTGCAGCCTGTGAGTTCCTAATGGAGAATGGGGACTAGGCACTCCACCAATCTGGTATGGGAGGAAGAATATTATTTAGCAAGTGAACATTTTTCTGGTACAGTTTTTGTAGCAGGACCATCTGGCTCCTATTAAAAGTTGCTGAGGAGTGTGGTTTTGATAGACTTCTCACTCCTTATCACCACTGCTATAAGCAAAGTAACCAAATTTATCTTAAGTATTTTACTATAAACAGAGTAGAACACTAACAGAGCTAACACTATGTGTGTATCAGCAGGCCTTGCAGGGAAGGGTTAAAAATGGTTTCTGTTGCTTTTTGACCATAAGAAGGTAGGCTGTCTGCTTGTAGTTTTCTTTATCTCTCTTTGTGTTAGAACCATGGTTTTTGTTATTTGTGTGGTATATTTACCTGATGCTTTCTTTTGGACTAGATGATCTCCAGAGGTCCCTTCCAACCCCTACCATTCTGTGAGGTCGCCGTTGTCGGAGTTTATTGAGGAGAGTCTAGTCACCTTCTTTTCCTTGCTCCTGCAGCTTCCTGCAAATAATAAAACAGAAAAGGCTCTTTAGTCCTACTTTTCCACCAGCCATAATAGATCCCACAGAGCGTAAAGAACATGTGTATACTTGTAGCATGCACTAGCTCTCAGGACTACGCTTGCAGCATGCCAAAGACCCAGGGCTCTCGCTGGCACCACCCAGAACCAAGGCAGTGCCTGTACTTAATGCATCAGTTCTGAAAAGCAGGAGGAAGCCATGGGGTAGTCACTGGGACTTCTTGTGAAGTTTTAAAGGCAGAAGTAACCTGCTGTGGGTGTGCTGCAGGCAAAGGAGCTAGTTAAGGACACAGAGTGACTTTTCTTATGTGTTAGGTTTGAACCAGTTAAATTGTTCTTCATAACAACTTCAGGCAAATATGAGGGTGTATGTGGAGCTAGCTGTTGAAGACAACAGGGGAGATTAGCATTTCTCGCTGATTTAAGAAGTTTTTAGTATAATGCTGAGGTTTCCTGGCATATACCTGTACAATGCATGAAAACAGTAGTATTCAGGAGAGCCAGCATGCTTAGGTCTCCCTTCCTCAGCTAGACAGTGGTGTTTCTGAAGTCCTGAGTCTGCCAGGTTCAGTCCCTGAGCTGCAGTTCAGGCATACATGCCCATGTGAGATTGATACTCCTAAATTCTCCTTTGGGTGTCATAAACCAGCTGAATTCCCTGAAATGATTTGAGAAGTAAGCAGTGGCATTAGTTACCTTAACTTTGCTCCATTTTGTAGAAAAGCTCAGTGGTTCCCTCTTCTCCTTGAAGGAGTTTATAGCTGCATCCCTCACCTTCTGTTTGGGAGCAGTGCTCCATCTGTCCTGTGTGTGCAGGAGGAGACGTGGTGCTGTCGGGGCCGGAGAGCACGCATGAAGGTGGGGATGACTGCTGCTGTTACATGAGCCCTTCTCCAGAAGAAGGGCATACTGACTTATCGAGCTGCTGTAATTGTATTATCCAGTGCAAAGTACACGGACAAGTGCAATGATGAGTGCCTTGTCCTCTAGTGGTACCTCTGCTACAGCAGCAGCAGAGCTGTTGCTGTCACGGTGCAGCAGGTATGTTCTGACCATGTCGTTCAGGTTTGACTTCTCAAGAAAATCAGAGGCCAAGAGCTTCTACTGGTAGATCCCAAGTGTGCTGGAGTGCATATGGCATCAGGTGATGGAAATCCGGATCTGCTGAGGTGATGGCAATTCTAGGTGGGTTTAGTCTTAGGGGGTTAGGAGCAGTCCCGGTGAAAGTGTAATGGCTTTATGCCTCTCAAGTGCCTGGCAGGTTAGGTACCCAAACGCTGTAATGATCTGTGGGTTTATAATTGATGTGCAGTGAGTTTTATTGTCATTTTACAGCTCAGGAAACTGAGGCATAGTGTTCATGGTGTGACTTTATCTGAATGAGCGAGAGAATCAGAGTCTTCTAAATTTGACCCCAGGATAAATCTCCTCTCCTATGTGTCAGTGTATCAGTACCATTGTGTCCTGTATGGGTCTTCAGATTATTCTTCACTGGCCGTGTACCTGAAGATGACTTCATGGTTTCATACAGACTAGTGGATATCACCTGTGAGCTCTGAAAGGGTCACTGATTGTAGCAGCATAAACCCTCCCGGTTGTTTCTGTGGTACCTTGTGCGGTGGTGGGACTTGAGCCAGCACTGACATCACTCCACTGGGTGGCAGAGAAGGTATTCCAGCCATTAATAATCTACTATGGAATAAAATGGATCCTTAAATACTTGGACAACAAACCAACTCTAAGCATATAGAAGTACAGTTTTGGGGATGGTATGCTGTTTGGATAAATGAATGGATGAAAGATGTTACTGATGATTGATCCTCTATTTAAATTATGAATGGTCTTGAAAAATTTTTAAATGCATGATAAATAACTTCATCTTTTCTTTTTAGTTGATGTCCATCAGCATATTAGGTGTTTCTGCTTGGATGAGAGACTACCTGAATAATGTTCTCACTTTAACTGCAGAAACAAGGTAAAGTTTTCCTGAAACCTGTTAATCTGTGTGGGTGATTGATTGCCATATATGTTGTTCATTCGGTATGGCAAGTTTCCTAATTAGGATTTCTAGAATTAAGAAGCCTTCAGTTGAACTAATTACTGTTTTGTTGAAAGGTGAATTTTTGCAACCATTTCTGGTATCAGTTCAAATTACAGAAGGGGGAAAGATGTGAATTCAATCTTGGTTTATTCCTGTGCCTTTCTCTTCTGACAGGGATCAATTTTTGGCCCTTTGCCAACATGTAACCATATTATATTACTGTTTGGTTTTTGAATACTTTATTCAGTCCAGAGATTTAGGAATGCTGTTAGTTTTATTACAGCAGTGCTTATGAGCCCTAGTGATGGAACAGAGCCTCATTGTGCTACATACTGTGCAAGTGCAGGACAAGAAGATCACCTTTGCCCCAAAGAGATTTCTGATGATGCATTACTTTCTGGTACACGAATGCAGCATTTGACTTTAAAACCACATAGCAGAGATTTCTGTGAAACTCTTAAGGTGCTGGAAATAGCACATCTGCTATTCCACCATTTTCATTTTAATGGCTACATTACATTTTACTTCTGTGTCATTTTTGTGTGACTATGCTTTTTTTGATTATGGTTCTGATTGGTTTTAGGGTGGAGGAGGCTGTCATTTTGACTTACTTTCCTGTGGTCCACCCGGTCATGATTGCAGTCTGCTGTTTCCTTATCATAGTTGGAATGCTGGGCTACTGTGGAACAGTGAAAAGAAATCTGCTACTCCTTGTCTGGGTACGTTTCATAACCTCTAAAACCAGCTAACTTCTGCTTCGCTTCAAAGTGTTAAGAAAAGTTTTAATCCACAGGCACTAGATAAATACTGATTATTTTTTATTACCATGTTGAGTTATGATATTGGTGAAGAATTGTAATTGCAAAGCACACAGTAGGAAAGAATTTATTGCCTAGACTGCATTGTGCTGTGACTGAAAGACAAGCAGCGTCTCATTTGCAAAAATCCACTTCATTTAGTAGAGGAGCTGCTGAAGGGAAAAATAACTCAAACTCTTAAGTACTAATAATTATAGGAACGTGAGTCTGAGTGCTCTAAAATAAACCCTTATGCTACCCTTTTGACTCCATAGCTAAATAACCTAGACTTTGCTTTATCCCCACAGTTGATTGTGTGTGTAAAGTAACAGCATTTGCAGTTAATGAATGTTAATTCTGAGTGCGTTCAGGAGCTTTGCCTTCTCTTATGTAGATGCGGAATTTTGCAGTTGCATTTGAGCAAGTTTAAAAATAAATTCCAGGTACCCAGCTTTTCCCTTTGGAGGCTACATAACTGAGCCAACAGCAGCTGAAAAACAATAGTCTCTCCTGCACAGGGCTCTCTGTACAATTTAACTGTGATCAGGCTTTGACTGTCAAGGGAACCAAATGCTTTTTTCTTCATCTGGAAGTCAGTGAGTTTGAGTACAATAAAAAAAAAAAACACAACCCCAAAAAAACCCAAAACAAAAACCTTATCAAACTTGCACAAATTTTAGAGGTTCAGAGTTTAAAAATATGTAGACCATTGGCAACACTGAGATCAAAGAGTGCCAGGTACTTGTATACTTCTTAGAAGTCTAGCTGGTCTGCTCTGCAGAGTGTGGCTTTGTCTTTTAATGTGAAGATGAGCAGGATTCCAAGCAGTCTGTAGGCCCAAGAGAGTGGGAGCAGTGGACGTGAAAGAGATTTATCAGACTTGACTACTGTAATTGCAGTAGGAGAAAGTGGACAGGTAAAATCCTTCAGCTCTTGAGAATATCCAGAAGTCTTATAAAAGTAGAGTTGGGCTTTTGCTGTTTTTTCAGTGCACACGTTTTTCTTGTGGATTTGTGCGGGCTTAAGTACATGATACCTAGACCCCACAAATTTTGCATGAAATGACCAAAAAAAAAAAGTGAGAAGTTGGCTGAGATCTATGCAACCTTTACTTTTATCTAATGGGAAATAATTCTACCTACAGCTAAGACGGTGAGGAAACTGTACTGGGGTTTTGTTTTAAAATGTCTTTTATTTGAGAGGGTTGGAGTAAGCTTTATTTGAGATTTCCAACTCAAGGTTAGCAGCAGAAGTGTTTCTCAGTTGCAAGAAGGTAAATGCTGTTTCTCCTTGTAGGTATTTGTTTAGCCAGTATACAGTACGAAAATTTTTGTTTCAAAGCTATATAGGTAGGAAAAACTCATTTAAATTTGAATATTTTATAGTTATATAATAGTCATGCATTTTTTATTTTTAGATCTTAACCTTGCAATGTCAATGGGAACAAGTTCCAGATTTTACTTAGTTATGAGCACTTGCATAAAATTAATGGATTAATGTAATTTCATACCATATAATTATTTATCTAGTAATCTTTCTTACATACTTTAAAAGGACCTTGTACATATTTTTGTCTTTTATGAATAGTGAAAGTATTAAAAGATGGTAAACTTACTAAGCCTTAGTTTTTATGGTAAGGTTATAAGATTATTTTCATAAAGTGTTTTTCATTTTATAGTAGTGATAGTTTTTAATGTGAATTAAAATTAATTAAAAGGCAAAAGCAGCTATATGATGTAGACCAATGCTACATAGTATCTTTAAAAAAAAAAAGTTATCATTTCTGGTATAAGCCTTGGAAAAAATCATAATTAATCCAAAAGAAAATGAAGCCAAAACTGGTTTTGGCCTTCAGTTTATTTTAACTGTCAGTGAAAAGAAGAAATCATTTATAGCTTCTAATGCCATCTGGAAATAAATTATTGAAAGTATGTTTAGGCAGTCAAATTATACTAAACCAAACCAAGATATTTCTGTCATTTTAAGTCATAGTATTTCTTTTTCAGGAGCCTGAGAATTTGCTCTTGCTAAGCAAACTGATAAGCAAAACTAAATGATATCTTCCTAAGTATGTCATTGTCTTTGATTAATTGTTAAATGAATGCAATCATGTTATACCACAGAAGTATGCAGACGTAAGTCAATGCTTCATTCATCAGACTAATCAGAAAAGTGATGGATCAACAAAATGGGCTTTTGTACAACCAGATGAACTAAAAGAAAAGAACCTTCATGTAAAACATTAACAACCTCTTCAATCATGCTTTTAATCTTCTTTTTGAAGTACATGAACAGCCATAATGATGGCATGCAGAGATATTTGGATACAAATCTTGACATTCCTGGCAGCATGCTAATTGCTAGTGCTAATGTTGTTAATTGAATTGGATTTTTTGAAAATCTAATAAAGCATAAGGACCATAAAATATCTGTATTATGGTGTTAGATATTTTTAAAACATCTGAATACATAATTATTTTAATTTGCTTTTGAAATTTTATCTTGCAATTAAATGCTTGAAACCTTCCCAGCTTCACATGGGGCATAAATATAAATTGAAAAAAAGTTTGCTTAGCTTAATAGTAAGAAAATATAATACCTCAGTCTTCTGTGGTGCGTGCTCGAGATTATTTGTAGAACCAGCATTTTGAAGGTATGATCATTTAATTTTAATTGCTTCAGGAATACATAGTCCTGAAGGCTAGTTGGTACAAAGAGCCCATGTGTACCTTAAGTGTCTGTAATACAATTTTGTTGTGTGTTGTAAGTGACCAATGTCCTCATGTAGAAGTGGCTGTGATGCCAGCCTAAACTGGAACATCTGGACTCCTCCAAGTCACTGACTTGAATGTATAAAAAGTCCAAGGATGAGAATCTAGAGTCCAGGTTTTATGGTGCTTGTTCCAGTTTTTCAAACAAGATTCTTTGAGTTATTTTTTTCAAATCCAGAACCATCCTTTGCCTCTTCTGACGCTCTGTCCGTTTTGGATTGTTTTTAAAGTCTGTTGTGCGCATAGCCTAACCAGGAAAAAAACCCAAACAAACCCCACCAAAAAACCCTCAAAATAAAACCCCACACATGGATATATTCTTTAAGAATAATAACCTTAAGAGGGGTGTGAATTTTTTTTAAGTTCTTCTTTTATTGAGACAACAAGAGTAAACTCTCTTTCTTGACAAGAAGAGCTGCATGAAAATCCCATTGGAAAGTACTTTCCTGGCTGGAGTTTTCATTGCAAATTTTGGCATTTATAACTACGAGTTTTCTGTAATTACAGCCTTCAAACAGCACAGGATTCAAATTTGTCTGCATATGTTTTCACAAAGGAAAAAACTGTTTGAAATATTTAATGGTCAATAGGGCAAATCCTTTTACTGATTTTTATCATAAAGTTGGCAGAGAAATAAGTATTCCTCAGAGCTAAATGTTGTTAGATGCTGTTGATGTGTGGTCAAACAGCTTGTTACTTCAGTTATGGCAGAACCTGGTTATAAATTTGAACTTGGCAGGGTAAATTGTCTATTAATTGAGCTGAAACAGAACCAGACAAACCATCGTTAAACTAAACCGATCTTTTCTTCAAAAGCAGGCAAATATTTCATAAAGAGATAAAAATGAAATGGTACTATGGTTTGGTAGAAAAGGTAAACTGGAGACATGTGACAAACCTCAGGTGACTGTGGCTGTGTCATGTCGGTAGCTCTCAGCCAGCTAAATGCAGTGCTGCTGAAGTGGTTTCTGTAAAGACCATCTGAAGAATGACAGGGAACCAGGGACTGTATCATCACCTGGGGCAGATTCTTCTATACCCATACACCCATTTCAGTCCATGTGGATGCAGAGGTGATAGCGATGATTAAATTTGGATATCTGCTATATCGCAAGATACCAATAACTGCTAATGTCTTCCTAGAAGGGACTCTTACTCTGTGTGAAATGGTAGCTGCTCTACAATACTACAGCACCAACTGTTCCGCAGTACTTGTGCACAAATTAGTAGGACAGTTTAGTGATGATTAATTTTTTTGTCTTTTTTTTTTTTGTGGCAGCATGTATTTCTGCAATAATATGTAATATAGTTTATTTGTTCTGTAATAATAAAGGATATTTGTTTTGACCCATGTGGACTCTTACCACAGTTACAGCTGTTCCAATAGCTTGTACTACCATTTGGCACTAGACTTGTTATTTACCAACCAGAAGTATTTCTTCATTATTTAACTACCAAGCATTGAAAGGGAAAAAATAACTGACAAACATACTTGGTGTAAACCCGTGCAGTTTAGAATTAGAACAGAGACTGAGTTGATTTTCATATTTTGTGCTTTTTATCAGCAACTCATTTACAAATGTGGTATGAGCAGGAGGAAAACAGAGATTCACAAGACAAGTTGGCCTGCCTTGTTGAACATCGGGTTTAGGTGGGTTTATAGTACTGCAGTACAAGTTTGAGAAGCCAGTACTGTGCTAAAACTCAAATTGAGATAGTCAGTGAGTAAGTAAGGGGCTGGACATTTAGCTTGCATTTGGAAATGCTGCTTGTTTGATGTTCCACTTGTAAGAGAAAATACACTTAAAGTTCACCAGTTGTTATTATACCCCCATAGTTTCAGATAAGAGCGGCTTTGTCAAGAAAATACAGAGCCTTTTTTTGCTTTTTTTCCCCCTTGTATTTCTAACTTTCAATTCAAAGGTGAACTACTTGAGGAGATGCCTGTATTAATCATGATTAGACATCTTTTTGCCTTGAAATGGGACAAGAGGGTAAGCTTCTTTCCTGTTCAGATCAGGACTGTTACATTTTGAGATTGGTGATGCCACAGTGTCACCACAGAGCAAAGCTGGGCTTTGCAGGAGTGGGTGAACTCTGCAAGGGCTCCCAGCGTGGTGGAGCAGGTTATGTTGGTCCTGGGGTCCCATG